AGTGGCGGTTTCGGTGCGGCTCGATAGACTCGCCCCTCGTAGACGGCACGAGCCATTTCACCGGGAAAAGCTTGTGACGGTTTTGTCCATGCCTGTGCACCGGACTGAGCAGATCCCGGAGCGTTGAACATCTCGGTCGGAGGGAGAATGAATTTCAGTCGTTTGCGCAAATTCGGACGCAGCTTGGGTAGTAACGGTTGCACTTGATCTAGCACACCATTGCCCACGTACATGTATTTGATATGATACAACAGATCGGCTACCGTGTCCACATGGACCATCGGGACTCCGATCTGTTTTGGTTTCGTGTCGGATTCCGCATCCTGATCGGTGCCCGCCGAATTCGATTCACCACCGGGGCCACCAGCGCCACCGCCACCCTTCATGCCCAGCAGGGCATCGACTTGGGCCACAGCTCGATATAGGTGAGCAGTCAACTGGACAGGGAAAAACAGAAGGAGTGTCCAGAGGGAAAGAGAGAGGGAAAAGATAAAAGAATTGTGAAAATATTGCCCAAATAAAGCAAATCAAACTTAGCAAACCCCTGCAAATTAGTCCAGCTAACTGAGAGGTTGTTTATTTACTTTCTGGGCGCTATTAACCACAAAGAACGAACTTGATCTTTCGTTACTCCTCTGGCTCTTCTCTTATTTCTGATTTTTATTTCAATAGTGTTAGCAGTCGTAATTGTTTGAGGGGTCTAACTAACTTTTCAGACAAAGTTGTACCCTCGGATTGTGAAAAGATCAGTAGCCTCAGAGGGATTCCAACTCACGAACGGAAGCCGCCAAGGTCATCATGGTGTATGCCTACCATCAATGCGACTACACATCTGCCTACTGGTCGGAACATGGGTAAAAGGCACCCCGAACACACATAAACACGTCCGTTGAAACAACATTAATCGAACGATTGGCTCAGCTACGGAGTACACTAGGTGATTCTATGAAAAACCTGTATGCACGCCTATTAGAGCGTCGACATACCGCCTCCGAGTTGAATGAGGGCAAGAACATAGGATTTAATGGGTTGGCGTCAAAGCGTAGTTGGTAGAGCGCTCACGCTGTGCAGTGTGTACATCAGCGGGTTACAATCCCACGGGTATTAATTACTTACCAAGTCCCAGTTAAATCACAAAAAGATTCCATGAATAAGTGTATCAGTCGTCCGGAATGATACTGTTCTTATTGGTATTATTATTATTATTATTATTATTATTATTATTATTATTATTAACGATAATCACATTCATTTGAGTTGACGTTTCCTCAGAGCAAACTGCTGACCACACACAACGAGAGAACTGCCTCAAAAGTATATACTTATCAAATAATCAATTCCGAGTTCCAGTTTGGCAAATGAGATGGGAGAAATATATCAACATTACCACTACCAAAGGTTAGTGGAGATACAGTGGTATGGTCATCATGGACCCCTAGTGAATCGCAATCGGTTTACCGCCACGGGGTGACTAGCCAAGAACGAATATTGGTGACTGGGCTGTATCGAAAACCGGCCTCGGATAGTGTAACAAGAGACGAATGTATCAATCCAGTCTACATTTTACCAATCCTCTATAACTGTAATGATAAGCGAGTAGTTCGATAGTTGCGGTTTCATCAAACTGTAGCTGACGAAGAATATGGGCATCCCTTCGATATTGTACAAAATCTGACAATCGCCAACTGCACAGCTGACATGAAAACCAACGAAGAACGGAGATAGAAGGATAGGGCATGGAAGTCGTCAGCTTAACTTATCCCGTTTGTAATAAACAAATTTTTTTTCACGTGTACAGTGACTTATCTTATCCAATGGACTACGATGAATCAAAATGTGAAAGCAATCGGTATTTCATAAACATTATTGTACCGGTTCCCGGGGGGAACAAGACTGGAACTCACTTCAATCAATTTTGCCGCTCGTTCAGAATGCAACGAACCCATTAGCGGAGCAACCAGATAGAACGCCATTAACAGTTGGGCTTCGTTAGTCAAATAAGGCACTATTAGCTCAGTGAACAGACTAGATACAAACAGAACGGAAGGAAACGGGGGCGAGTGGGTGAGTAGAACAGATTGCGAAACCGAATCCAGTGCAAACTGAACATGAAGGTTGGTTAGCATGGAATAGACTGCAACAGAATAACTTTTGCAATAACTTCCAACAAACTATCTCAAACGGGGCAAGCGAACAAATCAAGATTCGGGACAAATGCTGTGACGAGATCCAGAACAACTATGCATAATTGAACAACACAAAATGTGAATGTAATTGCGCTGCAAGTGGAGAGAGAGAGGACAGCTGCCAATTTGTGGTGGTAACGAGGCGGAGAGAATATATCAGAGAGAGCGGAACGAATAAATTTTGCACACAAATCAGGGTCAGTGAAGATGAGTTGCTGCGTTGCAATTGGGCTCGCGTGAAATTCAATGTCCGGATCTGCGACTAGATAGGAGAACCGGGTCAAGACAAATAGGGAGAACACGTACGCAGACAGACAAACCGAGCAATTGTCAGACGGAAGTGGAAACAGAGTGTGATAGATTTGCTAAAACTGCTGAGGAGTTCACTGACTGTTCACTGGAGTTCACTGTGCACTCTAACAGAACGGGATTTTCTTGGTCGCTCATTGCCAATCCAGCTGACCAACGAGATGTAGAAAGAAATCAGAAGAACGATTAGCAGACAAAGGCAAAGATTGTGAAGCCTAACAAACAGATGTTGCCGAAACAAATGGTTTGTGTATTGCGATGAGAAACTGACGCAAGGCATTAGGTGTTCTTTATTGATGAACTTTTCTGTAAAGCACGTCTACCCCGCTGTCTACGCGGAACTGATTTTGACGGCTTTCCGATTTAAAGTTTGATAGACATGTGGCAGATCGATATGCACCCTAATCCATTTCTTGACTTGAATTCAGATGAACACTGGACAGGTTCGAGGTTAGTTCTGTTTTTCTCGATCCGAAGGATAGCTGAACATTTTATTTGGTAGAGAAAGAGAAGCGTAAGCGTTCGACGCGAGCGAAAGCAAATCCCGGAGTTTTAATAAAGAGTAAACAATTACCAGAAATAAATGTGCAGGCCACGAATGTGGCAAACCACGATTACGATCACACACACACACACACACCCACACCTCCAGACTCCAATTTGGACGTACTGTCATACACAAATGACTATGCAAGCGTGTAACGAGCTAAATTATCAATAGGGTGGAATAAGCTTTCAGGTTAACTAAGAAATATAGTTTTTTTCAACCAAGCTCCTCTGTGCCTCGATTTGCAGCCCACTTGAGTGAAAGAGTACAGGGGTTATTGGAAAGTGTTAAAGTGAAGAACGAGATTGGAAACAGATTCACAAGATAAACGAGCGCCACGTTTCACGACACCCAATCCCTGAAAACAATGTATCTGATTACCGGTTACGCTGATCGCGAGGTCTCTCTCCAGGAAGTTTAACGTTAACTATTGGAATAGATCTCTTGATCATGACTTTGCATACTCTCATGCCGGGTGTTAGTTTAACCGCCGTGGGTTTTTTTCTAACCACTACCTGATTCAGCAAACATTGCATGACGTGGCAACTTATTTGGTGGCATGCGTAACATAGGACCAAACCAACGAAATCTAAAGAAGTAGACCAGTGGCTCGGATGGGCGAACACGATTACCTAAAACTCTGCGCCTAACCTCAGCGTTGCCAGTCTGTCTCTCTGACCAGATTCGCGCGCAATGCAGTTGGGAGTTAACAGATAGCCATTCGTCTCTTTTCGTTGGTGTCGGGCCATAAATTAACTGAATGGGTATCACTGAAGACGACACCCGGAACAAACATGAATTGGCAATTAGGTTCAGCCGTGGTATGTGCTGGTTGGCTAACACACCTTCCATACGATGGGTTCGGAGTTCCGAGCCCACGAGACGGTGGATACGCACCAGTGATGAGCTTGAATAAGAGCTAAACTAGAGTCTAGGGTTTCCGAGTTTATGGTTGATTGAAAGAATCGGCGGGGATTGTGAGTGAAGGTGAAGCCTGAAAGATGGTGAGTTGAAATCGGTTTATTCAAAAGCAGTTGCGGGATCGAAAGTAGATCTCTGCCTCGTGGATTCGGTTTTGGATAACCACTTGGAGGACCGATTCACCTAATCGCAGTCCATGGTTCTAAGTGCGCAACAATTATAAAACATCAAAGCAGTGGGACCGATCGGCGATACACAAAGATGATCACTAGCTCTAAAGATGGGTAGAACAAAAAAACAGCGCATGATACCACTCTGTGCAGTAGACTTACTTTGGAAGAGCTATCAGATGCGTGGTGTTCGCGTGACTCCAAATTGCATGCCACAAACTGGCTTTAAGCAAACACGTGTTCTTAGACGTGTC